AATGTTTTCGTGTTTCATCTATTCACAGCTGCGTGGATGCCACCACCTTCCTCTATTTCAGCTTTTTTGCTCCACTCATCTACGTGGCATTTCTGAAAAGCTTCTTTGGGTAAGCTTTTTCATTTATTTTATTATAGTCCCTTGATCTTGCTTTTTGGTTATGCATCCCAGGGAAGTTTAGACTACAGCAGACAAATAATTCTCCCTCCAGGTACAGTAATGGAACTGAAACTTCCAATAACAGTAATTGAGAAAAGCAATTTAAAAAAGCATGCAGGTAATCCTCTATTTGCAACCACAGCTGGGCCCAAAATTTCCATTGTTTAGCAAAGCAGTTGTTAAGATGTGAGTCACATCTGATTTTACAACCTTGTCTGTCGTGGTTTTTAAGCAAATCGCTGCAGTTGTTAAACAAATCGTGGTCATGAAATGAACCCGGCTTCTCCATTGACTTTGTTTGTTGGAAGCCAGGTGGGAAGGTCACAAAATGGTGATCGCATAATCCCAGGATGCTGCAACCGTAAATTCACGCCAAGTGCCAGGCACTCAAATTCTGACCATATGACCACAAGGCGATGCTGCAATGGTCATAAGTGCGAGGCCGAGTGGTCAGTCACTTTTTTCAGCGCTGTTGTAATTTCGAACTGTTGCTAAATGAATGGTTGTAAATTGAGGATCACCTGTATAAATCAGTAAGGTAATCTGAAAGTTTAAAATCATGTAACCATCACTTTTAAGTAACTTTAGCAAAATGTTTTTTTTTAAAGGCAGAGTTACCTGAAGTGAATCATTTTAATCTATTCTTTATCTAAAAAGTTAGAATATTTTAGTTCAGTCATATAATATGTAATTAATTTATTGTAATTATGTAATTAATATATTAATTATGATTACAAAAGGAAGTATAAGATGAAATGGTTAAAATGCAACTAGGTTCTAAAGTTCTGTAAATTCAAGTTTTCTTTTCTGTCAATGTTTCTCAGTCTTGGGTTTCAAGTCCCAGTCCCAATTTCCCAGTCAGCAATATTACTCTATACATTATGTTGCTCTGTGAAATGGAGACAATAAGGCCATTAAAAAAAATTAAAAGGAGGTTTAGCTAAATTGGTGAACAGAATAAAGCTATTCTAATTCCCAGGGTTAGTAAATACCAGGAATTCTTTTTGCCAGTGTTCTAAAAGAATATCTATTGAATTTAGACTGCCATCTAGTGGCCACATGGGGGAATTAAGAAATACTTGAAATAATTTAAATTGCTCTTAAATTGCTGATCAATTAAATTGCTTAATTTAAATTGCTGATCAGCTTAAATTGCTGATCAATTATTCTGTCCATTTTATGTCCAGACAGATTTTTCTAGGACTTGCATATTTTTATAGCAAGCCTTTGGTTTCCTGGAAATGTATTTGTAGGATGGCTTAGCGAAAAGGAAGAAGGTTCCTGAATTTAATGAACAAATCTCATCAACTGGTAATCTATTAAAAGTGCAGAAGCTCAGCTTTTTTTCTGTTTCACACAACTGTTCCTTGTATTAGATAGCACAGGAGAATAAGGCCACATTTTTGTAAGCTGAGCATTGTGATAATTAACTAAGAGTATAAAAAGGAGCATTCTGGAAGTGTGTTTTTTACCATGTTGTTTGAGGGGGCCATATTAATTAATTCTAATTTATATAGCTGCTCATCACATATATAACTCTGGACAGTTTACTCTGGGTGGCTTTAATTTTAATTACAATATACATAGCATGATTTTTAGAGCAAGCAAAACATTAAGTCTATTTTATTACTTGATGAATGAGATATAAGTATTTTTATGCCTGTTAAAGTTAGATAATACCAGAGCTTCATTGCCCAGTGCTAGGGGTATAGCACATCAAAGCATACCCTAATCCAAATAAAGACATTTTGACTTAGGTGTTTGATTTTAGTGTGATGCTGGTTCTCAAATCAACAGAACTTTCATTTGAAATATAGGTAAAAGAAGGCAGGGAAGAGTCCACAACACAAAGAGACAAAAATAAATACTATTCATTATTGTAGTTACGAATAAAGGAACAATAAATGAAAGTCAGTTTGGTCTATGGTTAAGACTAGAAAGTGGGAGACTGTGAGTTCAAGTCCTGCCTTAGCCATTAAAGCCGTTTGGAGGCTTTGGGCCAGTTACTTTCTCTCAGAACAACCACCTCACAAGATTGTTGTGAGAAAAAAATAAGAGGAAGGTGTGTTGGATATGTTTGCCACCTTGGGTTATTTGTAAAAATAATAAAAAGGCGAGATACGAATAAACAATAAATAAATAATATTGGTGATTACTATTTACCTCAGGAATTGTGTGCAATAGATTCTCTTCTTACCCAGAACAAGAGGACCTTCTCCTTTTCTTTCTCATTATTTTAGGTCTGAACCAAAGATCCTCTTCTCCTATAAGTGCCAGGTGGATGAACCTGAGGATGTTGATGTGCATCTTCCCCATGCCTATGGGGTAACCAAAAAAGAAGGGCTGGATTCTGGCTTCTACTCCAACACTCAGATTGACACCACAGCATACCTGGACGATGTTGCTTCCATGCCGTACCACGTGGGCAGCATCAATAGCATTGACAGTGATCGATGGAAAGCCATTAACTCCTAAAGGCAGATGTGGTTGAAAGAATAACTTTCTCTTGCACCCATTGTTCCCTTCAGATAATCATTTGGAACTCTTAACGTGTTTGTCTTCTCTTTCCTTGGAGGTGTTTTTTTTTAAAAAAGATATTTAAATTCTGTATGGAACATAAAATTGTAGTCTTCCTGGAAGGACAATACTCATCTTTGTGAGACAACATACAGATCAGCTTCATTTCAGACATGCATAAATGGTGACTTTTTCATATTCTTGGCATTCCAAATCTAGATGGTTAGACCTTTGTCACCTTTTGTTCGTGATAAAATGCACATTCTACTAGGAATATTGACTGTTCCTTTGGATATACACCTGCACACAAACAATCTGAAATTAAGGTTGGAATGCCTTGTTCGCATTTTATTTTTTTATGTTTGATTTAGTTATTATTTATGTTCCTGACAATTTCAAATTCCCAGCAGTAACCTTCAGTTTTGAATTAGAGGATAATAGCATAGTTCCTACATTTTAGCCACTGAAGTATGGTAGAAATGGAGGCGAGAGAACTCTAGAAGCGTTTGAGCATCTTATAATCTTCCCAGGGAAATTGGGAGTATATTGTATTTTAAGAAGAACTTACATATAGAAGGAGAGAGAAGGAAAGTAGTCAGCAAGGAAAGGTCTCTGGAACACGTTGCTGTGCTACTAAACTACTGTGATTTATTGACATGCAGGCATGTTTCATACACTGTATAATTTTCAAAATGAGTATGTAGTCAAGTCAGTGTTATGGAATGATGTACTGTGAGACCAACAGCACTTCTGTGCAAATGGGATTGGGTAGGGAGAAGATGGGGTTTTTTTTAGGAGCCTGTTTTAGATAGTTTGCTATTGATGCTTGGGATGGCATCTAAATAGAATACAAACCCAAAGGTCTAGATTAAAGACAGGCTATTTATAATACTGGTTGTGTTCTGGGCCTCCAGGTTAAGACCCTATTATAAGAATAGTGTTGGGCCTGGTTTTTTTTGTAACCTTTGGTAACACTTGGCTGATTATTGCATTAGTGATGTTGGTAATGCCTGAATTCAGAAGACTTCTGAGGGCTTTTCTGCGAGATTAGTAAAGCAAAAGAATGTTAATTTCTTTTATTATAATCAAGATGTTTCTGGAAAGAGAGTAATCTAATATAGGACTGGCTTAACTCTGACAGCAAGGAGAAAAAAATAGCATATCTAAAATGTTCTAAAAAGCTTGCATTTTGTGTCCATGCATTATGCCTGGCTTTTGTTGTTGTTAATGTTCTTGCTGTAAGGTTAAGTGGAAAATGCATAATTAGGGGCACCCTTAATAGTGTGTGAACTGTGGGTAACATTGTTTGAATAGAGATTGGCCAGGGGGCAAATATAGCCACAGCTAATTGGATTTAAAATTCCATAAAGTAAGAATGACAAACCAGAATGTTTTTTTCCTGTTGTTACGATGGCATTAATTCAGGATCATTTATGTTACAAGTGGATGAATAAGGTTAGGATTCCAGAAATTCACAGCAATTTTCTTTGAAATCACAGGATTTGCTTTAGGAAAACTTCTTTAAAACTGAGGCACAAAAAGAAAAAAATAGTATTTTGTCTCCTGAATGCAGACATGTTCTTCCCTTTGTCCTGAAAATTCTGCCATTTGTGTTTTCTGCTTGCCAAGACAACACCAATGTACATGATAAGACCTTGATTTTAAGAGTTTCAAAATTACCTAAATTCAGAAAAAAGAAGACTCATGCTTGAAACTGCTATTTGGATGTGTTGTTAATGCAGATTAGCATGTCTGATATGACAGAGAACAAAAAAATGTCTTTAATTTTGTTGTTGGCCAGAGTAGCTATTTCTAAACATCACAATTTGGTGCTGTAATTTGACTTGTTGGCGTTAGCAGCATTATTGTCTTGTGGTAAGAAATCTTACATAATTTGTAATTGACATCTCATTAATCTTTATGGTGTTAATTGGAATTACTGGTGGAAACCTCTGTCGGAAAAGGGAATTTATTGCAGCATTATGTGAGCTTGATCATACAAAGTTGTCTGTATTCTCAGACAACTAGTCAGTTTTTATTAATTTCTCAATTCCCCTACTTCTACAGGATATCCCAATTTCTTTCTCCTTTCCAGCCAGAATACCCCAATATCCTTACATGGGCTATTCTCACTAGAGTGGATTGGTGTTATAGACCCACAGACCTTGGAGAAAGCTTCCGGCATCTTAATATAGGTGCATGTGAGAAATGAAAGAATTCTTAATATGAAGATGGATATCTTGGGTAATGTGAATCAGGGTGAGATGACATTTCAGCTACCTTTACTAACCATGTTCTGCATCAAATATCAACCATTCGCTCAGCTATGATCACTTTTCCACTGTAGAATCCTTTTGCTCATCACCATGATAATTTGATTGTTAAATGGCTTTTTATATATCTACCTTTGTTTTCTGCTGCTGAGGAGAAACTGCACTAAGTGAAAGAAATGTCTTCTTCCAAGCATACTGATTTTAAAATGTATATAGTTAAATGCCTTCCATGTTCAGAGCAAAATATCATCCATAAACAGACAATGTTTGTGGAGATGAATGTATTGCATGTCTCATGAAATGTTGGAACAAACTTTAAAAATAAAGCTATGTATATTTTTGTCTGTAAAATTAATGACCTTTGACATAAACGAAGACCTCTCCCCCACCACAGATGATCTGCCTGCATGTCCCCATATTTTTTGCTAATCTTTTTTCAAACTAAGGTAGTCTGCTCTACTGTAATGACATGCTTTTATTTTAAGGAAAATAAGTCATTGTTCATTTTATTTTTCCTCAAATCTGGCTAAGTTTTAGAGTGGAGTTTTCAGATTGTGATCACACTTTCAGATAGGCCTCAGTGTCACATCAGCCTAGAACTAACTGGGTTTGATATCATTTTAAATTTTATTAAACAAATGTCCTTGAAGAAGAACAATCTTAAACCTTGTTATTTATTTAAATATAAATAAAATAAATTGAAGGAAACAATCACTATAATACAGGTAATCCTGGACTTATGACTACAATTGAGCCCAAAATTTTCATTGTTAAGTAAGACAGTTGTTAAGTGAGCTTTTCTCTATTTTACAACTTTTCTTGCCACAGTTGTTAAGTGAATCACTGCAGTTATTAAGTTAGTAACATGGTTGTTAAGTGAATCTGGTTTCCCCATTGACTTTGCTTGTCAGAAGGTCACAAAAGGTGATCACATGACCCTGGGACACCACAACTGTCAAATACATGCCAGTTGCCAAGCATTCAAATTCTGATCATGTGACCAAACTGCAATAATCATAAGTGTCAAAAACAGTCATAAATCACTTTTTTTCAGTGCTATTGTAAATTCGATCACTCAGTGTACTGCTGTTAGTCAAGGACTACCTCTACTCCTTTTGGGATTCACATGTGGTGAAACTGTGATCCAATTTAGGTTGCTTAGCTAGATATAAAGAGATTGTGGTAAAACTATTTTTTTTCCCCAGTGCCTGCTTTGAGTAACTCCCTCTAGCTCAATAAAGTGAACTATTTTTGAAATGCCTCTCTGTTTATTAAACTTCATCTTAATGCATGGGTGTCAAACTTGCCGTGTCACGTGACATTTCACAACGTATCGTGACTTTTTTCGCATTGCTGGAGCTGGGGTGGGTGCGGCCTCCGCATGATACAACTGGCCGGCAGTTTGACACCCTTGTCTTAATGGATATCAGGGCTGTAGAAATATAAAATACTATGATCAGTGAAAAATGGTAGCAATTTCACTGGTCCATAATTAAACATCTGGGTAAATGAAAAAGTATGGAATCAATAGTTGCAAAATTGGTGCTGACTGAAACTGAGAAAGCAAAACTTCCTTTAACCACAATAAACCACATCTTCCCTGATTATCTTTGGCTGTGGGATACAATTATTGGCTCCTGCAAGCTGTGTTAGACTTTAAATTAAACAGCAATACAGTATCTTGAATGGGGCTTGAAAAGAAAAAGAGAGCTAGTACTTTATACTAGTACTTTGCTCCATTATTACTCTGAATGGCACAGAATATAAATACAAAACAATAAAATATACTATAAATTGTATTGTTCCCTTTAAAACTCAGGCACCTGAATTTGCCCTGGAGCTGATAAAAACTCGATCCCAAATTTGGGAGAGGCTAACTACAAAATGGCTTTTTTGCTCTTCCCAACAGTACAAATCCTGAATACTTAAGGCAAAGTGAAAATGTTTATTAAGAGGGAGGGTCAAGACTTCATATAAGGTACAGAGTAAGAGTCATGGGAGTTAAACAAGAAAAAACACTGATCATAAGTCACATTCCACAAGTGGCAAATTAATGGGTTTCATCACCCTCTTTCTCAATTGAGTCTGTTTCTTGATGTTTGCAATTATATTCAAGGACTTCCAGAATAGATTCCTTATTGTTTAATTGCTGAAAAAACTAGTTCTTGTATAGTCAAACAAGAGAAATGGCTTTGGCTAAAAAAAAAAAAAAAAAAGCATGGTTTCCTGAACTTCAAAAGGAGGCATGGGTGGCATGTTAAAACGTTAATATCACTTTTATTAAGAAGCCTAAAAATCCAGATTGGTAGTATCAAAGCAAAATAAATAAATGTTTAGGTCTGGCTGTTCTGATTAGATTTCTAAATTTTCACTGATCGTATTTTGTATGTTCTGAAGTTTCCAGGTTGTTTTAAGACCAGCCCTACTTTGTTTTTATGTGTTTATTTATATTCCACCTTTCTTATTTTTCAAACAATTCAAAGTGACAAACATATCCAGCACACCCTTGTCCTCCTGCTTTCCCCACAACAACCCTGTGAGGTGGATTGAGCTGAGAGAGTGACTAGCCCAAAGTCACCCAGCTGGCTTTCATGGCAAAGGCAGGACTAGAACTCACAGTCTCCTGGTTTCTAGCCTGGTGCCTTAACCGCTAGACCAAACTGGATCTTTTATGAGTTGTTGTGAGCTGCCTCAAATCATTATAGGAGATAGGTAGCTAAATAAGTCCTTTAAAAGAAAATAACATAAATATGGTTAGGGCAAGGGTGGTATATTTCCAGAGAGCAGGCACTATCATGTTAAAGGCATGCCTCATTGGTCCCGTAAGATGACATGGTTCCCACCCTATTGGAGTTGTGGGACAGACAGTTACCCTTGGAAGAAGGTGATCCAATAATAATCCAGTCCCTATGCTGTGTGGAGCTTTATAAGTGGTAGCCAGCACTTAGTGTAGCTTGCAGAATTGTAATATTGAGCAACTAGCCTTGCCACTGCATTTTGGACCAGAATGGTTGGAATTAGGTGTTTTTAAATGTACATAAAAAAATAAACTGTGGAGAAAGGAAAACCATTCTAATTATGAAATTGATTATTTTGCATACACACGCGCACACATTGCTGTAGGCAATAGCTAGCCCTTTGATTTTGAATTTAAATAATTGAATTTTATCATACTTTTCATGTTTAATAAACATTGGCAGTTTTCCTTATATTGGTTGCTATGGTGATACAAGACAAGTCCCTTTACAGATTAAGAAATAAAGTCTTCCTAAACCTACAATTAGCTGCTTCATGTACTCAAACAGATAACAAATATTCTATTATTTTGCATTGGAGGCAGTCAGCTCACAACAGCTAAACGTTTGTGCTTTGAATGTGCCCTGAATTTTGAAATTTCATTTTTTATTCCTTTTTGAGGTACTATTAGAACAACAGAATCAAATAAAAGGCATTTATATTCATTATGACTTCCTAAGCATTCTAGTTGCCACACATTGTACCAGTATTCCAAATATAATTATTATTTTCTGTTGGAATAGGCGCAAATGTTCCTCCTTCAACTTTTTAAGACAATGTTTTTATCTATTTTTAATTGCCAAATTTGATGGATCCATTTTAATTAGAAAAAATGAAGCTTTATTGTGTATTGCACAAATGTTTGGAAGCTTAGAAGCAAGAAAGGATGTACTTTCATCAGAGATGGAAAGCTTTTAAATGGAAATATCTCCAATTGGATTTCATCAGTTACAGAACAAAATCAACCATTATGTTTGTTTCAATAGTTGACAGCCCATTTTAGAATTAAGTGAATAATTAGTCATTTTAGAATTAAGTGAATAATTAGTCATTTTAGAATTAAGTGAATAATTAGTGAATAAGATTAATAATTATCTTATCAAATGACCTTACCTTACAGAGTTAATAAATAAAAAAAAATTCATTCAGGTAATATTGGAACATAGGTTAAAATAAAAAATAGAAACTCAATGATCACATTATTTATATTTGAAAAATAAAAAGCAGGCTGGCTTGTTTCCTATCCCTCTACTGGTGACATGTAAATTTACACAGGATTTGCAAGCTATACAGCGCTAATGGATAGCAACTACTTGGTTCTGATAGGTTTAAGTGAAACAGAACGCAGAAATAGCTTCGCAAGCAAGTCTAGTCTTGCTGAAAAGCAATTAAGATCTGCAGCGGCAGATACCTCCACCTTGAGACAGACGTGTCCTCCGTCATCTGAAAAAAGCGTAAATTCCGGATGCATCTCATCTCCCGTCCAGTCGTTTGTGGGTTATTTTATCACATTTAGCTTAGCAGCAGCATTTCTAGAGGGGAATGTGGAGAAGGAAGACTACAACTTCCAGCATGCTTCACGGCCGCCTCCAAGACCGCGTAGCGCTATTGGAGACTTTCTCCTCGTTCGCCAACCAGGAGCGAGTTTATAAGGAGGGTGGAGCGAAACGTGCTGTCAGGGTATCTCTCTTGATTTTGAACTCTTCTCCGAGTTTTCTTTTTTTTCCGGGTGCTGCTATGGGGGGTAGCGGGAGCACCCATGGCAGCAGGAAGGTCTCCTTCGAGCTGGATGAGCACGAGCAAGTTCGGGTGTTGCAGGGCATCAGGGTGAGTGGAGGTTCACCCATGGGAGGATGCAGAGGGCGGAGTGGGTGGACGGCGTCAGAGGGGAGGCGTGTGGGTGCTGAGCGGCAGGGTTTGAATTGTAAGGGTCAATTCAACCTTGTATTTCTCAACCTTTGGCGGCTTTAAGAGGTGTGGACTTCATACTCCCCAGCCAGCATGCTGTCCATTGCTATCCATTGGCTTGGGAATTCTGGGAGTTGAAGTTTTAAAGCCAACAAGGTTGACAAACCCTGGTTTGATTTGGCCTCCCCTTTGTTTCTAACAAGGTCCTTGTAAAAGTAATTTATTACAGAATTCTTGTTGGTTTTGACAGAAGTGCGTCTTGCGGACACACTTGTATGTCTTTGGCTTTACAAATAGTAATAACAAGGTTCCTGTTTTCTGCCTCTATTGAAATGTGAGAAAGAGCTTGGTAATCCTCCTGACCTTTGTATCACTTTTAAAAGGAAAGTACTTTTTGAATGATTTGATGGAAGGTTTTGCTTTTTAACTAAAGGCTACTGAAGGATTTGAGCCCAGCTTTAGCATCATTTATTAGATTGAGAAACTAGCTGAGGAAAAAGACCAAATTCCTTCCATCCTCTGGTTTATTATTTTTTTAAAAAGAAAAATGATAGGCAAACATAATCTTTGGCACACTTTAGCAGGGTCAAGCCAATTCAAGTCCTGAAAAATATGGGGTTGTGTGTTGAGAAAGAGAAGACTTGAATCATTTAATGTGCAAATAGACACAAATCTTAAATATGTTCAATACGGCCTTTGAACATTTTTAATGTATATTCTACACAGGAAAGATAATCATATACTTTCTGAGACAATGTATGCATATTAGGAGTAGGGGAAATCAGTGTCCCCAACAATTTATGACCACACAACTCAAACTAAATTGGGTGTTTGTGCGTTAAACTAGATTTGCAAATAAATTGCATATTTTTAAAAATAGAGGACAAAGAATGTAATGGGGCATATACAGTATAAAATGTATAAATAACAAATCACTGATCACTGCAAAATTAAGAAATAGAAGTTTAAGTAAATTACTGCCTGAGATTTAGTAACATGTTTTTAATATAAAACCATGACTATAAAAATTAAAAACTCCAGTGCCAGATATCTCAAGAAAAAGCAGTTTTGGAAGGAAGAACTGACTAGCACTGTGTACGTTTTCACTGCTGTGCAAAAATTGAGGGTGGAGAGTAAATTCGAAAATTAAAGCTAAGGGAAAAGGTAAAAGCTCTTTCCTGATACTTTTTTTTTCATGGAAGTAATTGCTGGAATTTAATGTACATTTTTTCATGTAGCTTTTATTTCAGAACTTGAATTCCTTAGTTGTAAAAACCCAACATATGTCTGTCCATCAATTCACCCACCAATCTCCATTCAACTTCACAGAATTAAACTCAGAAAAAAAAATAAAAAGTGTAATTGCCATGTGGTGAAAAAAAAAAGCAATCCTTCACATTATCCCCATCCTAGAGGGGCCCACCCTAATTCAAGAGCTAGAAGAAAGACACTTTTTCAGGCTCTCTTGAAAATGCATAAGTGGGAGCAAAATAAGAACACCTGAGAAGCGGTACAAACATGCAGGCATCACAACAGAGAAGTCTGTTTCCCCCCCCCCCCCCATCCCTCTAGGACAGGTGACATTGCTTAACCAGGAAGAGAGTTGTAAAAAAGTTCCTTGTTTCAACCCTTGAATTAGGATTTTATTCCTAGGTACTAGTATAGTCATTAAACTCTGGCTGGGGAATTCTGGAAGTTGAAGCCCACAGGATTTAAAGTTAACAAGGCTGGACACCCCTAACTTAGCAACTATTACATGCCAATAAGCCTAAGCAAATATCTCAATTTATATCTGTTTATATACCTTTCACAACAAATTAATAACAGCTTTAATAAGACAAGTCAAGCATATGAATCGCCATTTTGACCAGTCAATAACTGACCAGTCAATCACCAATAATTGACCAGTGTTTGTAAGTACTTTTGTATTATGAGTAAGCACTATATCTCTTGTAATTACCAGATGATACTGTAACTGTTACTCTCCTACCTGGTATATATGGCTCATGCTAAAACAGAATTTGTTTCAGGTTTTGGATTAATAACTTTTATAAATATATCCGTTGTAATTTATAAATCATGACATTTGTGTTTATCATTAATCAAAACATAACTTTTAAGAAAATGTGTGATGTAAACTTTCTTACATTCCCACTATTATTTTTATTTGGGCTAGCTTTCTGAAGATGTAGTAAATAGAATGAAGGAAAAAAGTCAACCTAAACAAGACCAGCGATCTCAAGAGAAATCTAAAGTGTCCACAGGTATTGCGTGCCTTTTATTTAAGGGATGACTTATAAATTAATGAATCTGTTCCATACTACGAGAGATATGTTTTGTGATGAAACATTATTTACACGAGTATATGGTACCCTCTCAGCCCTAATAATATGCTTTGTTAGATTTTTCAAACTTTGTAATAGTTTTTTTGTTGGGAGAATTCTGCATAATTCCTGTTGGCACTCTGGAATGTTTCAGTATGTTCATAATTCATAAGCAGTTTATTCACCCAATATTTTAGATTTCATAGATTTGCTTTTTTGTTTCATCTTTCTTCTGAAATTCAGTAGATTGCTTTGTAATTTAGCTGAGTGGCTTTGTTTCTTTGTATAACTCCTATAAAAACGAAACAGGAAATTTATTTTTCTATAATATTTGTTTTCATTTATTCAGGGATCTGTCCACCTACTACAGAAAGTTTGGGTCAAAAGCCTTCTGAAGTAAAGAAGGATCTGTATAAGAGGTATGATGTTTCAATCACCACTTTGAAGGTTTTGTCCTCTTAAAATTCTCTTTAAAATGTATTTTAAAATTTATTGTCAAGACCAATGAAAAAATGCACACATTCAGCAACATTAACAGTGTAATAACTGTTGTAGAGTAACAACAAAATTAATTTAAAAAAATAAAAAGTCCCTGAAAAAAAAATCACAAACAGAATTCCCCTTCCCCAAGTTGACCAATTGCTAGAAAGTCTTTTCTTGTCCCTTGTTGAAATAATGCTAATTGATAACTAAGTAATCCATTGTATCAAATAAAGTATAGATTTTGCATTGACCTTACCCAGCAACTTCATGTAAATGTTAAAAAGGACAGGAGAGAGACCCAAGCTCTGAGGAACCCAACATTACAGGGGCCTAGGATTCGACCTCTCTCCCCACAAATACCAACCAAAACTGGCCAAAAGAAGAATGGAGATCCACTCTAAAACAGTGCCTCCCATTTCCAATCCTTGAATCTGCTTCAAAAGGATACCATGATCAATGGTATCAAAAGCTGTTGAGAAATCCAGAAGACCCAGGATGGTTGCAACATTCCTGTCCCAAGTCCTCCAGAGTTCTTCTACAAGTGGTACCAATGCCATCTTGGTACTCTACTCCCAGACTGAAAAGGGGCCAGATAATCCGCTTCATCTATAGTCCTCTGAAGCTGAGTGCCCACTATCCTCTCAACAATTTTCCTCCAAAAGGAAAGGTTGGAGACTGGACAAAAGTTGTCAAATATGGTTGGGTCCAAGGGTCACCTCTTGAGAAGAAGGTGTCTCCACTGCCGCCTTTAAGGCAGGAGGTACGTCTACTCCCACAAAGAGACCTTAATCACTACTTGGACCCAACCATATACCACCTCCCAGGAGGGACATTGGGTCAGCACAGATGTGTCTCAGTCTTTCCAGAGGTTCGGCCAATCTAGAGTCCACCTCAGAGTGAAGCTGAGGAACTTTGTCAGAAAGATGCTGAGAATATTATTCACAGTGGCCCTGCAAGAGCTCCCTCTGCTCCTTCTTATCCAGAAGGGACATATTCACTTAAAACATGGTTGCTGGGTAACTTGCTCAGCAGTACTAAGTATGAGTATGAGTGGAGAAGTAAGAGCTCTTTGCTGCTCTTATTGCCACAAGGTAAGTCCTAATGAACACACATATCTGTGTTTGATCAACAAGTCATGGATGAGGGGAGCTTTATTACAGGCCAATCTAACATTCATCAGCAACAGTTGGAGTCTAGAACCACTGAAGCTCCAGAAACAGGTCCTGGGACTGAGCACAGGAGGCCAAAATATGGTATCTGACAGGGCAAGTCACTGGTATACAAAATGAAAGCAAACCCCAGTCCCTACTAGTATTGATGATTTTGCCTAGTTTGGTAATGAAACGTTCGCAAGAAAACAACCAAGCTCAAGAGAGCACCGAGGACCCCACATTTCACTGTCTACTGAGGGGCTCCTCAGACAAACCCTTGTTAGTTCTCTTTGGTTGCTTACTGAGCTCACTCCCTGGAACCTGGTTGCTTGATATTCCTTTAAAGCCCTTGTTTTTTCAGCAGGTTATTACTTCACTGGTGATTTATACTATCTTTGGGCATCATCTAACTATTATTGTACAGTTGTAACAATAACAGCAGGCTTTATATCATCTCAGTGAGATCTGAGTCTAAGAATTGTATAAGTCCTTCATGTTAGTCATCCATATTGGGTAATTAGCCTTTCCCTGAATGGCTCTTGCAGTTAGCAGTATTTCCTCCTTCAGGATACAGCACTTTTCCTCTTCGTCTTGTTGAACCCCCTCAGCAAATGCCTGTTAGCTCACCTTTCTCCCTCAGTCAACAATGGTATGGCTGAAATAATGTTAAATCTATGTCTCATAAAATCTCTGAAAATTGAAAGGAGGAGAGACACTGCAGAGATATTTCAGAAGGTGGAACTATGATCCCATATAAATCTCCAGGAAGTGTCCACTGATGAAGAGGTTTAACAAAAGAATATATTTTTTTTTAATCTGGGAGAAGGGATTGTGTTATCTTACATTGTGTGTATTTATCAAACATGAGATATAAACAAAGAAATTGGGAAGAGTAAAGAGCAGGAACTGCTGAAGCCACTAAAGATCCAAAATGGGTAGTTTAGTCAGTTTTTATTTCTGTATAATTCAAATAAACATAATAAGCAAACACTCAATAAACGTGGCATAGAAATGTGTGGCTTATTGGATTGTGTGAATACTGTGCTATGAAAAATTAATTGTAATATTTTCATATGATTTTTTACCTGTTGTGACCTTACCTTTCAATGAAGGAAAATTCTTTTTATTTCAGAGAATAATTTAAAAATGAAATACCAGGCATTATTAAATAACCTAAGAGATTAGTCTCAAGGGAGGTTGAGTGCCATATACCTCAAAAATATGCAAGTGTGTCCATACATCATTAAGTTACTAGTTTAAAATAAAGATATGCCAGGAGATTGTAGAACAGTTGCTTACAAGTATATTGATACCTGTCACTTGTGACACCTATATTATGGAACAGCCTCTGTCTAGAAATTAAGTTTAGCCTTCTGGAGGCTTTTAAAGACCAAACTTTTCCATTCTAATATGATTGTCACAATTTGGATTTTAAAAAAACGATTAGGCGCTATAATTATTGTATTCAATTAAACACTATGTTTTAATGTTTCATTCTCTGGATATTTCTAATGTATTTTAATAACTTGTAAGCTGCTGTGAATTGTGAAGATATAGCGGGATACGAAATTGATAAATAAATCCATCTTTAAAGAGAGTAAAGTGTATTTATTAACATAAATCTTATGCTACTCCAATTTTACAGCTCCAATCAATATACAAGTATCTTAATAGCAGGTTTAATATATAAGTACCCACATCAATGAAAAAGTTAGGAACAAATAAAAGATGGCCATTTTCATTCCATGCTGGTTATCAAGTGCTCACTTTAACAGGAAGAGTTTCAGAAGCTTCTTAAAAGGCAGAAGAGGATGCCCAAATGTAACTTGGGAGGTTGTGTATTCCATAGAAATGTGACCAGAACTGTGAAGACCTGTCTTCTGGCCCATATCTCCTTATTTCATATGGAGATGCTTCTCTGAGTGGGTCTATGACAATTTGCTGCGGCCAACTTGCCACAGCCAACTTACTGTGGGATAACTTGCCACAGCCAACTTGCCAGAGGACAACTCATTGCGGGACAAAAGTTACACTAATCTCAAATGATGGAAAAGAATCATTAAAGAAAGGATGCAAAAGGAAGGACAGAATAAAATGTGAATGGTAAAAATTAAAATAAATTTTAATTTATTTTAAATAATTAAATAGATGGATGGGGAGGAACAGACTCAGACTCAACCCTTCCAAGACCGAGTGGCTGTGGTTGCCGGCGCCCCGGCATAGTCAGCTGATTCCATCGCTGTCTATAGGGGGCGAAACTTTGGCCCCCTCAGAGAGGGCACGCAACTTGGGTGTCCTCCTGGATCCACGGCTGACACTGGAAGACCATTTGTCGGCCGTGACCAGG